CACATCAAACTATCACACATGCAGATCTGCAAACTACGTTTCTATCTGTGCAAGGGTGACAGAATAAATGTTCAAGCGTACATAAATCTGTGCAGATGTGCTGATCGTCAGGCCCTCCGTGTCTTTAGCACTTGCGTAATGAAAAAGTGGAGGAGCGGGTGACAGGTGCAAGTGGGGTTTTTCATTACCTTTGGTGAAATTGGAAAAACCACAATAGTTCTCTGATGCTATGCACTTGGCATTGATTTCTACATGGATCTAATCTAAGAGCAAAAGTAGTCCAGATACTTGTTTTGACTGACTGCAGATTAGAATCACTTCTGTTGTCCTTTTCAAGGGATTTTCCTAAGGGAAGTAACACAGTCTCTCCAGACAAAACATTCTTTACAAGGTGTAAGACGAGCAAGGAAGTTTTGATTCAAGTGGTCACAGGTCTCTGATTCATAGCTGTGTTGGGTTTGGGTATTTCCCCCAGCAATCTGTGGAAGTGATGTATGGCTGTTGACCTCATTGACTCTTAACTTTAGGCACTGTAAACCAGTGATTTAGGTGACTTTTAAAAAAGATATGTTTTCAAGAGTGTTACATCCATTTTCTCATTAGGCTGGCAAAGTTTGCATTGTTGTTCCAATGAAAGTATGTAAGAAACATTAAATGATTTAAAGACTTCTAACATCCACACTTGGAGCAATACCACTCATTAAGTTGCTTCTGCCAACCTTCATCACTGAACGGTTAACATACTGACACCAGTGCAAATTATTCTTTGTTTAACTTAATCTTCTGTATGGCAAACTCTCTACTGTTTTTGTTACTGTACGCTGCAGTGACATTTGGAACAGAGATGTTAACACTTGGTAGAACAGTGGAAGGATTTCTGTCCTGATTCTAGCAAAAGGTAAAACTCACATAATTTAATCAGGGCAATATTTCTTCTAGAAGCATTAGTCCTAACTTGGCTTTGGCACTGATTCTTGAGCAGTACTGTAATCTGACCTGAAAGTCAAATATCTCATGCTTCATATGTAGAAATAGCTGTATGTGGCCTTAGATGTAAAAATGAATAATAATAAATCTTTTTAAAGCCTGTTTCCACAAAAGGGTGATGTCCTCCAATGTTACTGTTTTCTGCTTTTCTCTGCATGCATGAAAACCAATGACTTAGCTTTTTTTTTATTCTTACTGTACAGTTTCCTGTGAAATTGTTCTTCTTTTTCATTTTTTTTGTAGGCAACAGAGATTTTGCTCCTGATGATCCACTGGAATTTAAGTCTCATCAGTGGTTTGGAGCCTCTGTGAGATCCAAAAACGATAAAATTCTGGTAGGTTTTTGATGCCCTTCAAATACATCAGTGCTGGGATACTGCAATGGAGAAAAATACGAAAGGATCTGGATAACTCAGAATTTAAACACAATCACACTAATCAGTATGGCTTGTCTTTTTCAGAATTTATTGGCTAGCCTTTTTTAACTCTTTATAGACAAAAGCTGTAGCATTTTTGTCTGGTTTTGAGGAAAGTAGTAGAATGAGTTTTCCTGAAGTTAGAATGTGTTATAAATTCTTGATGAACTCTTTACAACTGTTACTTTAAGAAACTATTATTTCTAAAAATCTTATAATAAACCAGCTATTTCCAAAAATACAAACTGGTGATGCTTCTGCCTCAGTGATACTATAAATCTTTTCTAATAACATATGGTAGATCTGCCAATTTTTTTTTTTAACTATTCTGTAGAAAAATGAATTACTGTTGTATTATTTTATACCTCTCAGCATTTTGAAGAGGAGTTTGTTTTCTCAATGCCGTGTTTTCTTCCTTAGGCCTGTGCCCCGTTGTACCACTGGAGGACTGAAACAAAACAAGAGAGAGAGCCTGTAGGAACTTGTTACCTGCTTGCTGGATCTAAATCTGTGGAATATGCACCCTGCAGGTCAAGTAAGTGTAGAGTACTTCGTTGCTGTTCTGTTTGGAATTTCTCTTGTGTTATATTTCGTGCATATTTGAAGCATTCGGATGTTTTAAAGGTATTTCTCCCTTCCATGTATAGCCTCATAGCAATTAGAAAAAAACCTAAGCTAAATCCAGACATCTGAATTCTCTTCCAGTTGGTATTCAGGATGCAGACCTTGCTTCCTCTAGTATAGGTCAGAGGAAGATCTTAGATCCAAGTACCATTGGAATTGGGAACTTCAGTTTTGGAAAGGACCACTTCTGTAGTAATTGTTTGAGCACAATTAAATAGCAAGTGCTTTTTCAAAGGCCAACTCTAGAATTTTCTGAGCCTTAATTATTGTTATTCAAATAATGTAAAGAGAAAGCTCATTTTAGAAGACAAGGTTTTCTATGAGTAGGTTCTGATTTCCATGTTTACATTCATGCATAGTGATGCATTGTAGTTGAGTTCGTAGATAATTCAGATGCTTATAACCTTTTTTTAAAATGTAGAAGTCTAAGCTGAATGTTCAAGCCAGGATTTTTTTATTTATTTGCTTAATATCATTGGTGAATAGCAGGA